CTGCCACTTCCATCATCAAAATTGTAAACATCATATTTATGCATTTAGGTCTGATATCTATATGGATTTACATGGTTCTTAAAATAGTACTGTATTTCAAACTGCTGGAGTACAAAAGTTTCATGAAACCATTTCTTATAAACACTGGAAGAGCTTGTTTAATTCCACAAATACCCTATACATACATGTATGCTTAACAATTCGCAAACAGGTGAAATTATTTACATTGTCTCTACGTCCACAGCAGGACTCAAACCTACTAACTCTGTATCAGTCCACAGTACTTTACCACAGAGCTATATCCAAGATAAGTATGGGCACTTAGCCAAAGCTAAGCGATGTTACCCCATACCCCCGGGCACCAAGCTCGTTTTGAAAGTTATTTCATCGAATCCTGCCACATGCAGTGGACAATGAAAGAGATTTGAAATGCTTAACAATTCGCAAACAGACGAAAGTACTGTGGACTCTGATACAGAGTTAGCAGGTTTGAGTCCTGCTGTGGATGTAGAGACAATGTTTGTACATACATGTATATACACAAACAACCCACACATAAAGAGAGAAGCTAATGATGATGTTTTGGACATTTTGGACCAAGACAGACTGAAATGTTGTTGTAAGCATCTCTTCTATGTGCGGGTTATTTGTGTATTGTTCCAGTTACTGTACTGTGCCTTTTTTTTTTTCTTTACATGTATGTATATGTAAAAACAGGGATCTAATAAGTGTTGCTAACATGTTGCAATCCATGTCTTGCCAGTGTTACTTGTACAGTGGAACCTTGACTTGTGAGTTTAATCCATTCTGTGACCTAGCTTGTAACTCAATTTGCTCGAATATCAAATAAATTTTCCTCTTTTTAAATTAATTGGAATGCCATTAATCCGTCTCAGCGGCAGGACAAAATATTTCAATGTGACAACTCTACAGCTTATTTATCTATCACAGTTCATCTAATATGACATAATAAACAATATAATTAACAGAGTAACATGATATATACTGTAGAATGAATAAAATAGGCCATAATATGATGAGCAATGATACAATTTGTTTTGTTTGACTGCTGAACTTGAATGATATAATTTGCTTTAATTCCATAGAAATCATGCTCTTTTTCTTCTCAGCACTGTCCTTTGCACTTATTTTCTTAGGACCCATGGTTAGAAAAAAGAAATTTGGCCAAATTACTGTTAAAAATGCAAACAAGCAAGCATGAGAGAAATGCTCCTATGGCGATGTAAACGTGTGGACTCCTTACCGTATGTTTTGAAATCGGCTGTGGCAACTAGTGGCAGCATTCTGAATTGTTATTATGTATTACGTATGTGTGTATGTATTATTATTATTATTATTAATTTGGGGAACTGAAGCTCACTCAATATTATTAATAGTATAATAATAATAATAATAATAATAATAATAATTAATAATAATATAATAATAATAATAAGAGTGCAGGCATTGAAATGGGAAGTACAATGCCTGCACTCTAAAGGAGGAGTTTGAGATATTGGCAGTTTGGAGGGATATGTTGTGTATTTTTGTACGTATATACGTACTTCTAAACTGTTGTATTCTGGGCACCTCTGCAAAAACAGTGATTGTGTGAGTGAGGTGAAAATGTTGAATGATGATGAAAGTATTTTCTTTTCGGGGATTTTCTCTCATTTTGGGTCACCCTGCCTCGGTGGGAGACAGCCGACTTGTTGAAAAAAATTAAATAAAATAATAATAATAATAATAATAATAATAATAATAGGTAAATTTGGGGTGCCAGGGGTAAATGAAAATGGGGGAACCTTTAATTGAGCTATGTGTAGAAAGAGGTTTGGTAATAGCAATACATATTTTATGAAAAGGAGGATAAATATATACAAGGTATGATATAGCACGTAATGAAAGTAGTTTGTTAGATTATGTATTGGTGGATAAAAGGTTGATGGGTAGGCTCCAGGATGTACACGTTTATAGAGGGGCAACTGATATATCGGATCATTATCTAGTTGTAGCTACAGTTAGAGTAAGAGGTAGATGGGATAAGAGGAAAATGGCAACAACAAGTAAGAGGGAGGTGAAAGTGTATAAACTAAGGGAGGAGGAAGTTCGGGTGAAATATAAGCAACTTTTGGCAGAAAGGTGGGCTGGTGCAGGTATGAGTAGTGGGGGTGTTGAAGAGGGTTGGAATGGTTTTAAAAATGCAGTATTAGAATGTGGGGGCAGAAGTTTGTGGTTATAGGAGGGTGGGTGCAGGAGGAAAGAGGAGTGATTGGTGGAATGAAGAAGTAAAAGGTGTGATAAAAGAGAAAAAGGTAGCTTATGAGAGGTATTTACAAAGCAGAAGTGTTATAAGAAGAGTAGAGTACATGTATATGGAGAGTAAAAGAAAGGTGAAGAGAGTGGTGAGAGTGCAGAAGGAGAGCAGATGATAAAGTGGAAGAGGCACTGTCAAGAAATTTTAATGAAAAAAAGAAAAATTTTGGAGTGAGTTAAACAAGTTAAGAAAGCCCAGGGAACGAATGGATTTGTCAGTTAAAAACAGAGTAGGGGAGTTAGTAGATGGGGAGACGGAGGTGTTGGGTAGATGGCGAGAATATTTTGAGGAACTTTTAAATGTTGAGGAAGAAAGGGAGGCGGTAATTTCATGCACTGGCCAGGGAGGTATAGCATCTTTTAGGAGTGAAGAAGAGCAGGATGTGAGTGTGAGGGAAGTGCGTGAGGCATTACATAGAATGAAAGGGGGTAAAGCAGCTGGAACTGACGGGATCATGACAGAAATGTTAAAAGCAGGGGGGTACGTAGTGTTGGAGTGATTGGTATTTTTGTTTAATAAATGTATGAAAGAGGGGAAGGTACCTAGGGATTGGCAGTGTGTGTATAGTCCCTTTATATAAAGGGAAGGGGGACAAAAGAGATTGTAAAAATTATAGAGGAATAAGTTTACTGAGTATACGAGGAAAAGTGTACAGTAGGGTTATTATTGAAAGAATTAGAGGTAAGACAGAATGTAGAATTACGGATGAGCAAGGAGGTTTTAGAGTGGGTAGAGGATGTGTAGATCAAGTGTTTACATTGAAGCATATATGTGAACAGTATTTAGATAAAGGTAGGGAAGTTTTATTGCATTTATGGATTTAGAAAAGGCATATGATAGAGTGGATAGGAGAGCAATGTGGCAGATGTTGCAAGTATATGGAATAGGTGGTAAGTTACTAAATGCTGTAAAGAGTTTTTATGAGGATAGTGAGGCTCAGGTTAGGGTGTGTAGAAGAGCGGGAGACTACTTCTCAGTAAAAGTAGGTCTTACACAGGGATGTGTAATGTCACCATGGTTGTTTAATGTTTATAGGGGGGTTGTAAAATAAGTAAATGCTAGGGTATTCGGGAGAGGGGTGGGATTAAATTATGGGGAATTAAATACAAAATGGGAAGTGACAGTTACTTTTTGCTGATGATGCTGTGCTTATGGGAGATTCTAAAGAAAAATTGCAAAGGTTAGTGGATGAATTTGGGAGTGTGTGTCAAGGTAGAAAGTTGAAAGTGAACATAGAAAAGAGTAAGGTGATGAGGGTATCAAATGATTTAGATAAAGAAAAATTGGATATCAAATTGGGGAAGAGGAGTATGGAAGAAGTGAATGTTTTCAGATATTTTGGAGTTGACGTGTCAGTGGATGGATTTATGAAGGATAAGGTTAATCATAGAATTGATGAAGGAAAAAAAGGCGAGTGGTGCATTGAGATATGTGTGGAAGCAAAAAATGTGAGTGGTGCATTGAGATATATGTGGAGGCAAAAAATGTTATCTATGGAGGCAAAGAAGGGAATGTATGAAAGTATAGTAGGACCAACACTCTTATATGGGTGTGAAGCTTGGGTTGTAAATGCTGCAGCGAGGAGGCGGTTGGAGGCAGTGGAGATGTCCTGTCTAAGGGCAATGTGTGATGTGAATATTATGCAGAAAATTCAGAGTGTGGAAATTAGGAGAAGGTGTGGTGTTAATAAAAGTATTAGTCAGAGGGCTGAAGAGGGGTTGTTGAGGTGGTTTGGTCATTTAGAGAGAATGGATCAAAGTAGGATGACATGGAGAGCATACAAATTTGAAAGGGGAAGGAAGGCGGGGTAGGGGCCGTCCTTGAAAAGCGTGTTAGATAGGAGTGAATGGATACAAATGGTATTTGGGACCTGACGAGCTGTTGGAGTGTGGGCAGGGTAATATTTAGCAAAGGGATTCAGGGAAACCGGTTATTTTTATATAGCTGGACTTGGGTCCTGGAAATGGGAAGTACAATGCCTGCACTTTAAAGGAGGTGTTTGGGATATTGGCAGTTTGGAGGGATATGTTGTGTATCTTTATACATATATGCTTCTAAACTGTTGTATTCTGAGCACCTCTGCAAAAACAGTGATTATGTGTGAGTGAGGTGAATGTGTTGAATGATGATGAAAGTATTTTCTTTTTGGGGATTTTCTTTCTTTTTTTGGGTCACCCTGCCTCGGTGGGAGATGGCCGACTTGTTGAAAAAATAATAATAATAATAATAATACATATGTAATAATAATAATAATGTGAGCTTCAGAAAGCCATCAACTTAGTGCACTGTTTACCTCACTGTGGGAGCAGTTTTCTCATGCTTTGTTTACATTTTTGACAGTCATTTGGCCAAATTTCATTTTTCTAAGCATGGGTCCTAAGAAAGTAGGTACGTATAAAGGACAGTGCTGAGAATGAAAAGAGGTTGATTTCCATGGAATTAAAGCATGAAATCATAGATGATCAAGTGAGGTGTGCAGGTTTTGGGTTGAGGGGGAAGCAGGGGGAGCTGGCTCGTAACTCAGAGCAAAAAATTGACCGAGCGACGGCTCGTGTATCGAAAAACTCGTATGTTGGGACACTCGTAAGTCAAGGTTCCACTGTATTAGATTGTAGAATTGAATGATTTAAGGTCTCTTATCTTGATAAAATTTTCTACTGCTTAAATTATGTGGCTTTTGCAGGGATCTAGACTGAGCATGGTGCTTGTGTTGCCTACCAAGCGTGATGGATTAGCAGAGCTTGAAGCAAAACTAGCTACCACAGATTTGAATGATTTAGGCAAGAGGATGCATAAAAGCAAAGTAGTGGTCACCTTACCTAAGTTCAAGCTGGAAGAATCACTTTTTTTGAATGAACATTTGGCGAAGGTAAATTATGTTTTATTATTCTTAATTTATTAGACTCAATCATGTACAATATTTAAGTTGTATATATTTATCCAGGGAGGTACTACCATCCTGCCAAATGAGTGTAAAACGAAAGCCTGTATTTGTTTTACATGATGGTAGGATTGCTGGTGTTTTTTCTTTCTCATAAACATGCAAGATTTCGGGTATGTCTTGTTGCTTCTACTAACACTTAGGTCACACTACACATGCATGTACAAGCATATATTTATATACACACCCAAAAGATTAGTGCAGAAGCTGGAGGATCAGGCACGTATAACAGGAAGGGCACTGCAATGGATCAGAGAATACCTGACAGGGAGGCAACAGCAAGTCATGGTACGTGATGAGGTATTACAGTGGGGACCTGTGATGAGCGGGGTCCCACAGGGGTCAGTCCTAGGACCAGTGCTATTTTTGATACATGTGAATGACATGATGGAAGGGATAGACTCTGAAGTGTCCCTGTTCGCAGATGATGTGAAACTAATGAGAAGGATTAAATCGGATGAGGATCAGGCAGGACTACAAAGAGACCTGGACAGGCTGGACATGTGGTTCAGCAACTGGCTTCTCGAATTCAACCTTGCCAAATGCAAAGTCATGAAGATTGGGGAAGGGTAAAGAAGACCACAGACAGAGTATAGGTTAGGTGGACAGAAGCTGCAGACCTCACTCAAGGAGAAAGATCTTGGGGTGACTATAACACCGAGCACGTCTGCGGAGGTACACATCAGTCAGATAACTGCTGCAGCATATGGGTGCCTGGAAAACCTGAGAATAGCGTTCTGATACCTAAGTAAGGAATCATTCAAGACACTGTACACTGTGTACGTCAGGCCCATACTGGAGTATGCAGCACCAGTTTGGAACCCACACCTGGTCAAGCACGTCAGGAAATTAGAGAAAGTACAAAGGTTTGCAACAAGGCTAGTTCCGGAGCTCAGAGGAATGTCCTACAAAGAAAGGTTGAGGGAAATCGGACTGATGACACTGGAGAACAGGAGGGTCAGGGTAGACATGATAACATACAAAATAATGCATGGAATAGACAAGGTGGACAGACAGGATGTGCCAGAGAGGGGACACAGAAACAAGGGGTCACAATTGGAAGCTGAAGACTCAGACGAGTCACAGGGATGTTAGGAAGTACTTCTTCGGTCAGAGTCGTCAGGAAGTGGAATAGCCTAGCAGGTGATGTAGTGGAGGCAGGAACCATACATAGTTTTAAGACGAGGTATGACAAAGCTCGGGAAGCAGAGAGGACCTAGTAGCGATCAGTGAAGAGGCGGGGCCAGGAGCTGAGTCTTGACCCCTGCAACCACAATTAGGCGAGTCCAGTTAGGTGGGTACCCTTCTGTGTTTTCTTCTATTTTTCTTACTAATTCTTGTTCTTGTTTATTCCTTCTTATCTCCATGGGGAAGTGGAACAGAATTCTTCCTCAGTAAGCCATGCGTGTTGTAAGAGGTGAGTAAAATGTCAGGAGCAAGGGGCTAGTAACCCCTTCTCCTGTATATACATGTATTACTAAATGTAGGAGAAACTTTCGTTTTTCTTTTTGGACCACCCCACCTCTGTAGGATACAGCCGGTGCATTGAAAGAAAGAATTTGGAAAATTATACCCAGTGGATACATCTTCGACCTGAGAAGTGAAGACAAGTATGTTTAAATTACACATTGAGTAGGGCCTTTGTTTAGCTAAAACTAATAATTAGATCAATTGATTTATCTAGGATTATAAGCTATAGCCATTACATATCTAGTTGAGATGTCTGACTTTTTTGGGTTATCTTAGGTTCTTTACACATATGCTGCTATGTATGATAATTCTATGTAACTGTATTTGTGTATACCTGAATAAACTTACCTACTTACTTATTTTTTTTTTTCAACAAGTCGGCCGTCTCCCACCAAGGCAGGGTGACCCAAAAAAGAAAGAAAATCCCCAAGAAGAAAATACTTTCATCATCATTCAACACTTTCACCTTACTCACACATTATCACTGTTTTTGCAGAGGTGCTCAGAATACAACAGTTTAGAAGCATATACATATAAAGATACACAACATATCCCTCCAAACTGCCAATATCCCAAACCCCTCCTTTAAAGTGCAGGCATTGTACTTCCCATTTCCAGGACTCAAGTCCGACTATATGAAAATAACCGGTTTCCCTGAATCCCTTCACTAAATATTACCCTGCTCACACTCCAACAGATCGTCAGGTCCCAAGTACCAAGTACCATGAGCATTATTAATCAACAAAAAAAATTATATGCATTCAGCTATTTTCCTACTATGCATTGGCATGAATTGTAAAAATGCATACAAGCAATAAAATGTTTGAGGAGTATTGCCAATTATTAATGACAATGTATCCTGATAATAGGAACAACCATTGAATGAATAAATTAATACCCTGTGTTTAATTGTAATGATAATGTTGGTAGACATGGAGGTGGCATCAGGAAAGTATAGAATTAGTTATTTTGAGCACTTATGCACTAAAACCATAAGGGTCATATTGATAATTCTCATTAAACCAGCTCAGTATTCATTTGCTAAAATACTCAGCATCATAAGAAACATAAGAAAGGAGGATCACTGCAGCAGGCCTGTTGGCCTATACTAGGCAGGTCCTTTACAATCCATCCCACTAACAAAACATTTGCCCAACCCAATTTTCAATGCTACCCAAGAAATAAGCTCTGAAAACTCCATCCACTCGTATGCAAGTCCCACTCAAATTCAGCCCTTCTCACTCGTTTATTTATTATTTTTTTTTATTTTTTTTATTATCACACCGGCCGATTCCCACCAAGGCAGGGTGGCCCGAAAAAGAAAAACTTTCACCATCATTCACTCCATCACTGTCTTGCCAGAAGGGTGCTTTATACTACAGTTTTTAAACTGCAACATTAACACCCCTCCTTCAGAGTGCAGGCACTGTACTTCCCATCTCCAGGACTCAAGTCCGGCCTGCCGGTTTCCCTGAATCCCTTCATAAATGTTACTTTGCTCACACTCCAACAGCACGTCAAGTATTAAAAACCATTTGTCTCCATTCACTCCTATCAAACACGCTCACGCATGCCTGCTGGAAGTCCAAGCCCCTCGCACACAAAACCTCCTTTACCCCCTCCCTCCAACCCTTCCTAGGCCGACCCCTACCCCGCCTTCCTTCACTACAGACTGATACACTCTTGAAGTCATTCTGTTTCGCTCCATTCTCTCTACATGTCCGAACCACCTCAACAACCCTTCCTCAGCCCTCTGGACAACAGTTTTGGTAATCCCGCACCTCCTCCTAACTTCCAAACTACGAATTCTCTGCATTATATTCACACCACACATTGCCCTCAGACATGACATCTCCACTGCCTCCAGCCTTCTCCTCGCTGCAACATTCATCACCCACGCTTCACACCCATATAAGAGCGTTGGTAAAACTATACTCTCATACATTCCCCTCTTTGCCTCCAAGGACAAAGTTCTTTGTCTCCACAGACTCCTAAGTGCACCACTCACTCTTTTTCCCTCATCAATTCTATGATTCACCTCATCTTTCATAGACCCATCCGCTGACACGTCCACTCCCAAATATCTGAATACGTTCACCTCCTCCATACTCTCTCCCTCCAATCTGATATTCAATCTTTCATCACCTAATCTTTTTGTTATCCTCATAACCTTACTCTTTCCTGTATTCACCTTTAATTTTCTTCTTTTGCACACCCTACCAATTTCATCCACCAATCTCTGCAACTTCTCTTCAGAATCTCCCAAGAGCACAGTGTCATCAGCAAAGAGCAGCTGTGACAACTCCCACTTTGTGTGTGATTCTTTATCTTTTAACTGAAACTACCCAAGGTTTTAGCCTCAATAACCCAACTAGGTAGACTGTTCCACTCATCAACTACCCTATTTCCAAACCAATACTTTCCTATGTCGTTCTAAATCTAAACTTGTCTAATTTAAATCCATTACTGCGGGTTCTCTCTTGGAGAAATATCCTCAAGACCTTACTAATGTCCCCTTTATTAATACCCATCTTCCACTTAAACACTTTGATCATGTATTCCCTCATTCTTTGTCTAACAAGTGAATGTAATTTAAGGGTCTTCAATCTTTCTTCATAAGGAAGATTTCTAATGCTATGTATTAATTTAGTCATTCCATGCTGAATGTTTTTTAACGAATTTATGTCCATTCTGTAATATGGAGACCAGAACTGAGCTGCATAATCTAGGTGAGGCCTTACTAATGATGTATAAAGCTGTAATATAACCGCTGAACTTCTGTTGCTTACACTTCTTGATATAAATCCCAGTAATGTTTGCCTTATTACGTACGCTTAGGCATTGCTGTCTTGGTTTAAGGTTGCTGCTTATCATAACCCCCAAGTCCTTTTCGCAATCTGTATGGGTAAGTTCTACATTATTTATCTTATAAGTCCTAGGGTTGTGGACACTCCCGAGCTTCAAAGACTTACATTTATCTGCATTGAACTGCATCTGCCACTATTCTGACCAGGTATTGAGTTTGTCTAAATCCTCCTGAAGTTCCCTGATATCTTGTTTGAATCAATTATCCTACCTATCTTTGTCATCGGCGAATTTGCTCATTTCACTAGTAAAATTCTCTCATCAAGGTCATTGATATAAATTATAAACAACAATGGGCCCAAGACTGATCCCTGTGGAACACGAATTGTTAGGAAAGGCACTAAGCAATGTATAAGGCAGTAGATAAAAGATTGAGTTTGTGGTACAGCACTTCAGCATTGCTGGGCGATAGAAATTTTGCTGCTACAGTGACCGTCTTGCCCTAAATAAGATGTCTGAATCACTGGAAGGTCTATCCCTAGCTCCTGATGATCCTTGTTTTAAATACAGTATGAATTAGTTATTTAAAAGAAAATTTATGTTCTCTCTCTTCTTTCCCAGTCTTCTGCAGTGAAGCTTGGATTAAGGAAGATTATGCAACAGAAATTAAGTCTCTAGGAGCAGGATCTTGTGTAAAAGTGTCCTACAAAGGCAGATGGTGGCACTGGGAAGAGTGGTGCTATAATCTAACAGTCCTGTGAGGAGGAGGATCATATTAATATACTAGTGATTGGAATCCCTGGAAGACCAGGCAGATAGATGAGGTTAATACCTGTAAAATGCTTGGCGAGGCAGAGGGAGAACCCATTGAATCCTGATGACTGATGAAAGGCCCTGAAGAAACTGGGAGACTAAATCAGAGCACTGAGAACAATCAATGTTGGAATGGCCAAAGAAAGTTTGTTGAGCCTGGATTTTGGTATATAGTAGTCATTCATATTCATAGCAAAATACTGTTGAGTGCAACATATAAGCCCAAAACAGTTGAAGACCTGAGTACATAGGCATTGTTCAACCGAAATATCTTGTCAAGAATCATACAAAGCTGGACTATGAGTATCTCCTTGATATCCACCCTGGGAGAAAACAGTGTTACAGGTATTTCATGGATGATATACCAGCAGAGGCCAAAATCTGTACACTCCCAACAAAAGCGGGGTTTAGCATGACCTGGCGTTGGGGTTAGGGCTCCAGAAAATCAAAGACCTACATCCAAGATCTTTATGTAACTGAAATGGAATGGGATGTTGCAATCCCCTTTTTATTAAAATAGTAACACTACTACTTATGATTACCACAAAATTAAAAATATATTGCAAAATATTTGAAATTAAGAAAATTTATTGGATAAGTTCAGAGTTTAAAGAACCTCAAATTTAGCTGATTTTTTCTAGTGTTTAAATCACGGTTGAAACTTTTCATTATTTTAAACCACAGTTGAAATTTTTTTTCTAATATTTTTAATGACTTGTGTAGATTCTTTGGTAGTGTTAGTCTTGGCTTTCATCCTGGGCATATTACCTAGGTTATTGAGTAAATTGAATGCCCTTTATGTACTTAAAATTTAATTTTGTTTTTATTTAATGAATTTATGGATATTTGTGTTTGTTTTCCAGATGGGTATTAAAGACCTATTTGATGTGAATCATTGTGATTTGTCTGGGATCACTGGCACCAACGATCTTTATGTTTCCCACGTGATTCACAAAGCCTTCCTGGAGGTTAATGAGGAGGGTAGTGAAGCTGCTGCAGCTACAGGTTTGTTCTTTATTTGTTCCATTTTTATTTCTAATAAAAATAGCAAGAGAGGTATTGAATGAGTAATGGTGAATGTGTTTTCTTTGCATCACCCTTCCTTGGTGGAAAAAGTCCATGTAGTTACAACAAAATTAATGTATGTTTGTTTTAATACTGTATGTAGCATTATCTATGACATTCCCTGGGAAACTCTCATGATAATTCTAATTCAAAACTAATGCATATATTGTACTGTTTAGCTAAATATGGAAATGGTATATAAAATACTGTACATATCCCTGAGAAAGATGAAGGGGAAAGGGGGGGGGAAAGTGATCATAAATGTCTTCCATGGTAAACTCAGTGGCATTGGAAGAAAATGAAAGTGCAAATGTCATTTAAACATATTTTGGAAAGGTAAGTAGGGAAGTGCTTAGATATTAAAACTTCTAGCAAAAGTATTAAATAAAGCTATAGTAAAAGAAAAATTCAGTGTGAATGTAGTTGATAGTTCAGCTCTGCAAGAATTGAGATATTCTTTTATTATCATAGTAGACAAATGCACAAATCAAAATTAGCAGGAAGGTTGTTGCAGTAGAAGAGCTTGAAAGTCTGATATTGCCTAAGTCTTCCATTGAGCAGTGGGAGAACATTGTGATAATGAGTGGTAAAATTCCAACTGTTTTGATAAATGAGAAATATTTTAGTACCTGGCAACTTGACACAGTATAGTCAAGGCCAGGTAAAGTATAGTGGATTATGAGAATGTAAAAATGAGAGATGTCATGCCAGTGATGGTTTAGTCTTCAAAACCCTTGTGATCTCTATAGAATACTCTCCTGACATATTTACAGGCAATTGAGATATTAGGGCTAGAATGTACAGAGATCAATTACTCTTTGCATAGTCTAAGTAAATACATTTAAACTACTGGAATTGTATTGAACGCTCTTTAATGAACAGAGATAAGTGAAATCTCATTCATTAAATTTCTTTTGGTGTCATTACCTTTAGAAAAAGATTCTCTATTTCAGAATTTTTTTTAAAGTGGACATTGAGAGTAATATTAATTTTGGGGGACTGGACAATACAGTGAAAGGGCTAAATCTGCCTTCATAGATCAGGTTCTTAATCTAATGGACTAATGGTGAAATATCTCTGAGCCTTCTTAAGCTTTGTGTTTAACCCTTAAACTGTCCAAGCAGATCTATGTTCACATGCGTAGTGCTCCGAAAGTCGATCTACGTTTTTTACATATTTTCAAATATAACAAAAAAAAAAGTAGATCAAAGTTATTTTACACGTTTTCAAATGTAAAAAAACAAAGATTACTTTTTTTACATACTTTCAAATGTTGAAAAAAACGTAGATCTACGTTTGGACAGTTTAAGGGTTAAGATGCAAGTTCAAAGCTAGCTTTGCATACTATACTATTTTGTATGTCTTTCTTTGTGTTTGTATGACAGATGTTGAAAGTCATACATAAAAATATTTAAAATTCTTTGCATAGGGGAATAATTTTTGGAAGGATGCTCTGTTAATGCGTATTAAAATATTTCATGAAAAAAGCATGGTGTGTGAATGTTTTTTTTTTGAGAGAGAGAATGAGAGAGAGAATGAGAGAGAGAATGAGAGAGAGAATGAGAGAGAGAATGAGAGAGAGAATGAGAGAGAGAATGAGAGAGAGAATGAGGGAGAGAATGAGGGAGAGAGAAAATGAGAGAGAGAGCAGAGCAGAAATCAGCAACTACAGACCAGTGTCACTCCTGTCAATCACTGGTAAGATCCTTGAGACAATAATCTCAAGACAAATGACAGAGTTTTTTGACTACCACTCACTACTTTGTGATCGTCAATATGGCTTCAGGAAAGGTTACTCTGCTGCTGATCTGTTGTTAAACCTCTCCACTAAGTGGCACCAGTCACTGGATGAATCCAAAGTCAGCTGTGTGGTAGCACTGGACATTGCTGGCGCTTTCGACCGGGTGTGGCACTAGGGCCTCTTAGCAAAACTTCAAGCACTGGGAATTGCAGGCTCTATGCTATGTCTCCTCAGTGATACCTTCATGGTAGATCTCTAAGTGTAGTTCTCAATGGAACGGAATCAGCAAGACATCCTATTGGGGCAAGTGTTCCACAAGGAAGCATGCTGGGTCCATTGTTATGGAATGTCTACTTCAACGACCATCTTCATCTCATCCCAGAATCACATGCATATGCAGACGACTGTACACTGACAACCTTCACGGCGCACATAAGGGAGATAAAACGCCTCAATTACTGGGAGCGCTTGAGGTTCCTAAACCTGTATTCCCTGGAACGCAGGCGGGAGAGATACATGATTATATACACCTGGAAAATCCTAGAGGGACTAGTACCGAACTTGCACACAAAAATCACTACGAAAGCAAAAGACTTGGCAGACGATGCAACATCCCCCCAATGAAAAGCAGGGGTGTCACTAGCACGTTAAGAGACCATACAATAAGTGTCAGGGGCCCCGAGACTGTTCAACTGCCTCCCAGCATACATAAGGGGGATTACCAACAGACCCCTGACAGTCTTCAAGCTGGCACTGGACAAGCACCTAAAGTCGGTTCCTGACCAGCTGGGCTATGGCTCGTACGTTGGTTTGCGTGCAGCCAGCAGTAACAGCCTGGTTGATCAGGCTCTGATCCACCAGGAGGCCTGGTCACAGACCGGGCCGCGGGGGCGTTGACCCCCGGAACTCTCTCCAGGTAAACTCCAGGTATCCAAGAGAAGAAATGCCAGCTGCTCTAAGCTACATCAATCACCAGCTGAGAGCTATATCAGCTTGGGGAAATAGATGGCAAGTAACATTTGCACCTGAGAAAACGCAAATGATGATTGTCTCTAGGCACCATGATGGTAATGCTGGTGCAGTAGTAAGGATGAATGGGAGGGTGTTGGCACCTGGAGAAGAAGTTGATATCCTTGGGGTGAAATTTGACTCCAAACTAACCATGAAGAACCATGTTGTAAATTTTGCAAACAAGGCAGCCAGGAAGCTTACAGCACTTCGCCGTATCTCGCATCTGCTTGACAGTAGGGGTTGCAAGATCCTGTACGAGGCACAAGTACGCTCACACCTTGAGTATGCCCCACTTTCTTGGTTTGCCTGCCCCCCCTCTCATCTGCGACTGCTTGACAGAGTAGAGAACAGAGCAAGACGTCTCATCTCTCGCCTGGAGCCATCCTGGATAGATCTGTCATTTCAGCAGAGCCTTCAACATAGGAGGGATGTGGGTGGCCTTACTGTTATGTACAAGGCCAATATTGTCAAAGTACCACACTTGGATCCACTTTGAGGACAGCGTGAAACAAGCTTTTATGCCACAAGACTGGCAGAAAGCAGCAACTTCACTCTGGCTGTACCCTTCTCCAGAACATCACTCCATCTGAGATCATACATACCCAGGACGACTCGAGTATGGAACACATTCGTACAGCATAACGATTGTCAACGAGATAGTCAGTTGATCAAATGAAAATGCTGGCCCACAGATGGCTCCAACTTCATCCTGTTCCTTACTTGTATGTCTCATAACAATAAAAATGCTTTCAAATGAGCTAGCCCTTGTGGCTTAGCGCTTCTTTTTGATTATAATAATAATAATAATAATTTCAAATGAGCTGATGTAGGTAACAGCTCTTAGCTTGCCAATAAAGGTAGGAATCCTTAGCCTGTAAATAGCTTGTCAATAAAGCTAGGGATCCTTAACCTTGTCAAACCCTGTGTAAAAAAAAAAAAAAAAAAAAAAAAAAAAAAAAAAAAAAAAAAAAAAAAGAAATGAGGGGGGAAAAAAAGAGAAAAGAGAATGAGAGGAAAGAAGAATGAAAAAGGGGAAGAAGGGGAAGAGAGAATGAGGGGAAGGAATGAGAGAGAGAGAAAAAAGAAAATGAGAATGAGAGAAGAGAGAGAAAGAAAATGAGAATGAACACTGCAAGGTTGTGTCTTTTCTACATTCATTGTAATATTTTTGCAAAACTAGAGATAATCATTGCTATAATTAATTTGATTTCTTTTTTCCCTTTAGCCGGGGGTTTAAAGGAAGTTTTCCAAAGCCCCCAACCCCTTCATTGCTTTTACCCATTCTTTTTTTGATTCGAGAGCAGTCTGGATTCATTTTTTTTCTGGAGATTTTTTCATCCTAAATTTTTGTGTCATAAAAGGGATGAGTTTAAAATTTTAAATTTAAAAAATTAATGTACAGGGGAACGAATTTTGGGCATAAGCCTTTTCCAGAAGGGGGCCTAAATTCAAAGCAATAGTTTTTCCCCATAAAAATTTAAATGAAAACAATTAATCTTTTCCCGACCCCCAAAAATAATAAAAAAAAAAACATTTTTTAAAAATGAATTTTTTTTACACCACAAAACAATGAAACTAAAAAAAAAAAATGAACATTTTAAAACACTATTTCATTTCTTTATTGAAGACTTCTTGGCTTATGGAAAAACAGGGAAGAGAAAGGAGATTATTATTGGAAGGGGAATTCCCCTCCTAAGGGCTTAGGTATCAAAACCCTCTTGGGTTATTTTCCCCCCTGCCCCTACACTCCCTGCCTCCTACTACACTCCCTGCCCCCTGCCGTACACCCCTGCCTGCCCGCTACACCCCGCCTGCCTGCCTGCCCGCTAACTCCCCGCCTGCCTGCACACCCTGCCTGCTGCCTGCTGCCTGCTCAAAATCCCCGCCTGCCCACTCATCCCTGCCTGCCCGTACACCCCTGCCTCCCCTTTCACCCTGCCTGCCTGCCCGCTACACCCCTGCATTCCCACACACTTTCCCGCCTTCCTTCCACACACCCTGTTTCCCCGCTACACTCCCCGCCTCCTTTGAAATTTAATTGTTTTGGGACACCAACACACCCCGCCACCCACAGAAACAAACCCCAGACCACACCCAAAACACACACCCAGACACACACCACGACAAACCCCCACAGACACACACCCAGACCACACCCCAGACACACCCCCACGGGCACACCCCCAAGACAACCCCAGACACACCCCCAAAACCACCCCCACCACCACACACCCCACAACACCACACACCCCCCACAACAAACCCCACACCACCAACACCCCCCCCAACCACACCCCACACACACACACACACCCCCCCAAAAACACACACACACCCCAACACACACACACACACCCAAAACACACCCCACACACACACCACCCCACACACACCCACCCCCACACAACACACCCCAACCCAACCCCCCACCCCCCGCCCCCACACACAACCCCCCACACACACACGCCCACACACCACACGCCCCACACCCCCACACGCCCCCACACACAACACACGCCCCCCAACCACAGCCCCCCACACACACACGCCCCCAAAACAAACCCCCACACACACACACGCCCCCCACACACACACGCCCCACACACCACCGCCCCCACACCCCGACCCCCCCACCACCCCCCCACACACCCGCCCCCCCACAAAAACCACCCCCACACAACACAAGCCCCAAAACCCCACAACGCCCCCCAACACACACCCCCACCACACACCCCCCCCAACAACCCCGCCCCCCAACCCCCACACGCCCCCCCACACACACGCCCCCCCCACCACCAGCCCCCCACAAACACACGCCCCCACACACACCCCCACACCCCCAACCCCCCCCACACGCCCCCCCACACAGCCCCCCCAAAACACCCCCACAACGCCCCCCACACACCCCCAACACACGCCCCCCCCCCCACAACCCCCCCAAAAACACAAGCCCCACCACACACACCCGCCCCCCAAAAACACCCCCCACACACACGCCACACACACACAACCCCCACACACACGCCCCACACACACGCCCCACACACACACACACCCCCACACACACACACGCCCCCCACACACACACACGCCCCACACACACACACACGCCCCACACACACACACGCCCCACACACACACACACGCCCCCACACACACATACCCCACCCACAACACAACAACCCACACCCCCCACACACACACACCCCCACACACACAGGCCCACACACACCCCACACACACACACACGACACCCAGCACACCACCACACAACCACCACAACACTACACACACACACACCCCCACACCACACACAACCCCCACACACCCACACACACCACACACACACCCCACACACACCACACACCCACACCCCACACACAACCACACACACACACACACACACACACACCCCACACACACACACCACCCCACCACACACACACCCCACACACACACCCCACACACACACACCCCACACACCCACACACCCCACACACACACCACACACACCACACACACCCCACACACACCCCACACACACACACACACACACACCACACAGAAGTATTTCTTCAGCCACAGAGTAGTCAGGAAGTGGAATAGTTTAGGAAGCGATGTAGTGGAGGCAGGATCCATACGTAGCTTTAAGCAGAGGTACGATAAAGCTCAGGGTTCAGGGAGAGTGGCCCAGTAGCGACCAGTGAAGAGGCGGGGCCAGGAGCTTGGACTCGACCACTGCAACCTCAACTAGGCGAGTACAACTAGACGAGTGCACACACACTGTTGCGGCCCCCTACCAAACTAGCGGTTAAATGGTTAACCTGCAGGCCGGCAGTACCACTGGGTACGTCATCAAACCCAATGTGGGGACTGCTGAGCTGGCTTTAGAAGCACTATGTACCAGAACACCTTACGGTACGCATCTAAGCAGTAACTACCAGAACACCTTACGGTAGACATCTACTGGCAGTAGAGTATTCGTCTGACCGTCTTATATATATCTACTAGCTTTAGAAGAAGCGCTCACTGCAGCTCACTGAGTCTGTTGGCCTCAGTTATTTGATGGCCGCATTCAGCGAGCTTGCACCATAGTGTATTCTGCACCGGACCACCTTGCTGTGTGTCAACTGTTCTTGAAGGTGGTAGACAGTGCTCACCAGACCATCTTACGGTGTGCTTCTGCCGGCCTTAGAGAGTATTTACAGGACTACCAGGTGATGTCTGCGGACTCGCCGCCTACGCTGGTCAACTGTGGGCCGAGTCATCTGATGCTGTTTTAGTGGAACACCCACTACGGTCCTATAGCATATCTCAGTGTGATACTCAGTCATGCTTCCTTAAGTGTCACACTACCCTTTTCTTCTCAGTGTTCCACTAAAACCATCATGAGTTAAGAGCATTTATGGATGACAGAGAATCGGTTAGTTAAAATGTCAACCTTGGATTTCATGGAAAGCATTTGAGTGCAAAGAAGTATGGCAAACAGTTCTGGCTGAAGGGTAGAGGCCCAGTTATTGATGCATGCTCCAATTTCTTTAAGAGAGCCATCACTCTGTATGATGTTGGGGCCTAGTCCCTGGACCTATTATGTATCTCTGTAATCTTTTGACTACCACCCACTGTATGGGTATGGGGTGCATAATAAACATATTAAACTAATTCCCTCCATGCTGTATTTCCTGCCTCCCTGCTACACTCCCTGCCTCACTGCTAAACTCCCTTTCGCAACATTAGCTTCCTTAATTTTGCTTTCTTTGCCCGGATGGAAGTGATTGTTGATTTGGATTTTCCATACATCCTGGCAAGTTCTAGCACTCGAACACCACTCTCATGTTTTTCAATAACTTCTTTCTTAAATTCCATCGTGTTTTCTCACTTTCTTTACCAAAGGGCTGGCACTCTGAACTTTCTTTGGGCATATGGTGGCTTATTTCACAGTCGCACTTAATAAAGAAGCACAAAAAACCGATGGATTTTACAGAAATGTTTGGATGAATGCGTGAAGTATATGCTCATTCACCAAGAGACGCTGGGAGATTGACTTGCCTACAGTGGCGTCCCCGCGGGAAAGGGGGCTGATGGTATTGATATGGACAATTTACGAGGCACCAGCCGAAATATGGAGCAAAATTTTTCCCCCCCCCCCCCCCCCCCCCCCCCCCCCCCCCCCCCCCCCCCCCCCCCCCCCCTTCAACCCCCCCCCCCCCCCCCCCCCCCCACCCCCCCCCCCCCCCCCCCCCCCCCCCCCCCCCCCCCCCCCCCCCCCCCCCCCCCCAAAAAAAACCAAAACCCAACAAACAACAAAAACAAACCCCCCGGGCCCCCTTTTCCCACCAAACCACCTACCACACACCAACACCACCACACACACCCCGGGCAACAACACACTACAACATCCCCCACCCCCCCCACACCCCCCTCACACACCCAACCCCCCCTCCCACAACACCAACCCCCACCCACACAACACCCACCCACACACCCCAACCCACACCCCACACACACCCCACCTCACACACCCCCACTACAACCCCCCCACACCACCACACCCACACCCCCCACACACCAGCACACCCTACACACCACAACACAACACACAAACACCCCACAACAAACCCACCACACCCACAGACACACAACACCAAACCACACACACCCACCACCCGCTCACAGCCACCCCCCCACACACACACCCCCACACACACACACCCCAACACACACATACACCCCACAACACACTACACCCCACACAAACCACCCCACAACCACACACACACACCCACACCCCACACAACACACACACACACCCACCCCGACACACAAGCACCCACACACACTACAACACAAACCCACACACACACCCAACACACACCCCACACAACACACACCCCCACACACACACAAACAACCACACACACAACACACACCACACAAACACAACACACAAACCCCACGACACACACACCCAACAACACACAAACAAACACTATCAAACAAACCCCACACACACACACACCCACACACACACACCCCACACACCACAACCCACACACAACAGCCACACCCACACAACCCACACACACACAACATCAACACTCAACACCCCACACACACCGATCCACACACACACCACCCCACACACACAACCCCCACACACCACAACACACACAACCCCACACACACACACACCCCACCACACCCACACACCCCACACACACCCAAAACACCACACACCCATCACCAACAAAACCCACACACCAAACCACACACACACCCCACAACACACACCACACACATAGAAGTTTTTCTTCAGCCACAGAGTAGTCAGGAAGTGGAATATTTTTAGGAAGCGATGTAGTGGAGGCAGGATCCATACGTAGCTTTAAGCAGAGGTACGATAAAGCTCAGGGTTCAGGGAGAGTGGCCCAGTAGCGACCAGTGAAGAGGCGGGGCCAGGAGCTTGGACTCGACCACTGCAACCTAAACTAGGCGAGTACAACTAGACGATTTACACACACATGTTGCGGCCCCCTACCAAAACTAGCGGTTAAATGGTTAACCTGCGGGCCCGGGCAGTACCACTGGGTACGTCATCAAACCCAATGTGGGGACTGCTGAGCTGGCTTTAGAAGCAGTATGTACCAGAACACCTTACGGTACGCATCTAAGCAGTAACTACCAGAACACCTTACGGTAGACATCTACTGGCAGTAGAGTATTCGTCTGACCGTCTTATATATATCTACTAGCTTTAGAAGAAGCTCTCACTGCAGCTCACTGAGTCTGTTGGCCTCAGTTATTTGACGGCCGCATTCAGCGAGCTTGCACCATAGTGTATTCTGCACCGGACCACCTTGCTGTGTGTCAACTGGTCTTGAAGGCGGTAGACAGTGCTCACCAGACCATCTTACGGTGTGCTTCTGCCGGCCTTAGAGAGTATTTACAGGACTACCAGGTGATGTCTGCGGACTCACCGCCTACGCTGGTCAACTGTGGGCCGAGTCATCTGATGCTGTTTTAGTGGAACACCCACTACGGTCCTATTAGCATATCTCAGTGTGATACTCATCATGTTCCTTAGTGTCACATACCCTTTTTTTTTCTCGTGTTCCACTAAAACAGCATCATGAGTTAAGAGCATTTATGGATGACAGAGAATCGGTTAGTTAAAATGTCAACCTTGGATACATGGATGCATTTGAGTGCAAGAAGTATGGCAAACAGTTCTGGCTGAAGGGTAGAGGCCCAGTTATTGATGCATGCTCCAATTTCTTTAAGAGAGCCATCACTCTGTATGATGTTGGGGCCTAGTCCCTGGACCTATTATGTATCTCTGTAATCTTTTGACTACCACCCACTGGATGGGTATGGGGTGCATAATAAACATATTAAACTAATTCCCTCCATGCTGTATTTCCTGCCTCCCTGCTACACTCCCTGCCTCACTGCTAAACTCCCTTTCGCAACATTAGCTTCCTTAATTTCTGCTTTCTTTGCCAGGATGGAAGTGATTGTTGATTTGGATTTTCCATACATCCTGGCAAGTTCTAGCACTCGAACACCACTCTCATGTTTTTCAATAACTTCTTTCTTAAATTCCATCGTGTTTCTCACTTTCTTTATCAAAGGGCTGGCACACTGAACTTTCTTTGGGCACATGGTGGCTTATTTCACAGTCGCACTTAATAAAGAAGCACAAAAATCGATGGATTTTACAGAAATGTTTGGATGAATGCGTGAAGTATATGCTCATTCACCAAGAGACGCTGGGAGACTTGACTTGCCTACACGTGGCGTCCCAGCGGGAGGTGGGCTGATGTGTATTGATATGGACAATTTACGAGGCACCAGCCGAAATATGGAGCAAAATTTCCGCCCCAAAACTAGCCTAATTACGAATCGGCCAATAAATGCAGTGGTCGATATTCAGGGTTCCACTGTGTGTATAGTACTGTATTTACAAAATTACAAGATTAGTACAGTATATTTCACTGATAATTTTGGTGTGATATTTTTGAAAACTTTTAAATATGGATTTGCTATTTTGTTAATAGTGTTGTTGACAAAGATTCAAATTAGTTCATATTAGGCATAGTATACATGTCTTATAAAGTACATATGTACTTTGTCTATAGTCTTGTTACCTTGTACCACATTTTCTTTCTACATATATTCATGGTATTTTGGGGGTTGTAATTACTAGTAATATTATATTATAGTCTTGAAGTTCTGTAGTAAACATTTACTGTATATTTCATGTGCTGTATAGTATACTGATTAATAAAATTGAATTTTTTGAAAAATTTTCCTAGCTTTCAAACCACATATTAAATCCTTGCTTAATTTACAACACAGGTGTACATTATTCTTGAGTAACCTCCTGTTAAACAGAAATAGTTCGATATCAGAAAACATTTCTGCTGTGTCTCCCGTTATGTAATTGTGGCTTTCTAGATTTTATTTTTTCCATGTTATATTGTATATATGTACAGTGTAACTTCCATAAAAAAAAAAAAACTTGATAGTGGGAGGGGGGGGGGGGTGCTTAAGCAAAAATTTCTTGTATTGATGTGACTGATGCTGAAGATAGTGCTGTATATAGCTCTTTGAGCTATAGTTGTGCCTCTTGAGCATTTTAAAGTGCAGCTATTATACCTCTTATGTGGGTTGAGATAAAGGGGGCTGGGCTAATGGGATACAGGATATCTTTTTTTTGGATCACTGAAGAAGAGGGTACTGGGATTATGGGATGCAGGTATGTCTCAGATCACTAAGGCAGAGGGGGGTTGGGATGGTTGGATATGGATATATCTTTCTTGAATCAATGAGGTAGAAGTGGCTGGGGTTATAGGATATGGGAATACCTTTCTTGGATCAATGAGGCAGAGGGGGGTGGGGTTATGAGATATGAGATACTTTTCTCAAATTATAGAGGTAGAGCAGACTAAGGATACGGGGATACTTTTCTCAGATTGAGGAAGAGGTGGCTGTGGGTCTTGGATGATTGAGGCAGAGGGGGTTGCAAATATGGGTTATGGGGATACCCTTTTGGATTGCACAGCAGCTGAAATATTTTTAGTTTTTAATGTAGTCTACATGCATTTCTTTGGTGTTGAGTTCATATGCAGAGAACTGAAGAAAATTTTAGTAGCTCAAGCAGGGCAGGAAATTATTTTCCAGAACATAAGGCGCACGATCGTTTGAACCACATCAGGTGATGTTTCTAAGCAATTGTAACATAACTTTAGTAAACAACTGCTAAAACATAGCCCAAAGCCTACCCTTGACCCTATAAGATATAAGGCACAGGGTGATTTTTCCAAAACTGTGGGGAAAAAATATGCCTTGTGCCAGAAAATACACAAGGCCCATCAGAAGATAACTTTTTGGATTATTTTTCAAAATATATTCAGCATGGGTTCTGAACTTGCATTATTGTTGTAATTTTCTGAAAAAGAAAACTAATAACTTGGGAACAATTTGAAGAAAATTTTTCTCAGGTACTCAGGTGAAACAAGAGCACATAATAACTTTTGTGAGTTGCTTGAAAAATGTCAAGTTTTGATGTCAAGCTTTTGGAGGAACAGGCAAAAAAAGCAATAGATTTTTTTATATTCCTCTCAAAGGAGGTTCCTTGATGCTGGTGAAGGATTTGTTTTCAAAGGAATTTGACCTACCTTCCCTTTCCTTGAATTAAACCTGATTATCTCCCATTTCCTGAAGTACTGTATGACCCCTATGGGTTTAGTGCTTCCTCCTAAATATAATAATAGTTGGTGTCAAGGGAGGCTTGTTACTTCAGTTCTCCCCAGAATTCCCTTGGATCCCCAACAAAAATAGTAATAATGCTGCTTCAAAATAAGTAACCTAGGCCCCCTTCTAACGAGACAGCCACTCCAGTATAGAAATTCTGGTCCCACCCCTGAATAATAATATTTAAGGGAAAGTGATAAACCCATAAAGGTCATAAAACATTAGGAAAATTGGAGGCAGAAAAGTTCAAACTGAGGAAGAGAAGGGGTAGCTTAAATTCCTTG